CTTCCTAAGGGGAACAAGAGTGAGTTTTTATTTGTTGCTTCCAACTGGCTTACTTCTGAGAGCAGAAAACGGTCAGCAATTCGTTGTCTATATTCTGAACCTTGAGGTAATAGCTTCTAGAAACACTTCAGAACCTCCCTGAAGCCTACACTGTCCTTGAATCTTCTATTTTGGAATTGATTGCCTGTCTTTTCATCATTCTGAGCCGTTTCAGATGAGCATTTTCAGCCCTTCCCAATCTTGCAGCATTTGAATATATTGCACATGGAAAAGAAATGAAATAATTTTTTAAATAATATGCAATTTTGGAGAAGACTGACGGGAAACAGGTGCTCTCAGATGCAATAGTGTAGCTGTGCCAACACTTCTGAAGGCATTTTAGCAATATTTATCAAAACCCCTAAAACATACACACGCTACTAGATTGATCCATGTGTTGAACTTTTTAGACTTGATTTTAAAGACATAATTATAGATATGCTCAAAGATGTCTGTTTAAAGCAAGGACACTTCCATGTATTATTGTAATAGCAAGAAATTATTATCAAACAAGAAAGTAACATAATGACTAATTATAGAAGTGGTAGTTTATCCATAAAGTGAAACATCAGATAAATCATGCTATTAAAATGCATGCCTAGAAAAGTCTGGAGAAAATCACACAAAAATATTTAGCAGTTGTTAATGGGATGGTGGGCTTTTAATTTCTTCATACTGTTCTAAATATTCCAAAATTCTAAGATGATAATGACTGCTCATTAGAAAACAAGGTATTTGAAGTCAAGAAAATATACTGGCATTCTGTTGTTTCAAATGAAAATTGCCACAGTTTCTTATCCACGGTTATGAAGAAGAAATTTCTTGAATATCTCACCTGGGAGCTGCAGGAAACTTTTTACTATGTAATTGGTTAAATCGTAGGATTAACTTTGCCATTGTTATCAATGACACTATCGCTCCAACAGCATTTAAAATGGGCTAGGATTGAGCTATATTTATACAGGCTACTCCTTTACTCCTTAAAACAAACCATGAGGTAAGTATTATTTTCATTTTACAGGCAGAGAGCTGAGCCTCTGAGTGATTATGCAAATATGGGATTTGAGCCCAAGTACCTTAAGGCAAAATGTGCACCCTTAGCCACTATGCTACATTGCTTCTCTTACAGTTTTAAGCCTGACCATCTCTACTTTGTGATCATTTGGAGCCAAAACAAGAGGCATTGAGGGAAAAATAATTTAATAGGATTTGAGCCACAATGCAAAAGTCATTATCATAGGCTGAATTTCACATTGGTTTCATATTTGCTCCATAATATTTGAAAACAGGCTATAAATAAATTATATGATGCTTAAGTTTAAGAACATAAGATGAGAAATAAAACCCCGCTGGGAATATACCTTATTCTGAGTAATATATTAAAATATTTGGAAATTTATTAACAGAACAGCCACAAAAACGTGAATGTGCTTAATTAACTTAGCTAGAACACATGGATAGTAAAATATTTATTTATTTATTTGCTGGTGGCCCAAATCTTTATCAATGTTAGACAAGGCAGATAATCAATGGAATGCATTTTCCCCTACATTTTATTAATTTTGTTGTTGTTGAAAACATACACCAATTCAACATTTTCTTCATGTACAATTTAGTGACACTGATTACATTCTTCAAGTTGTGCATCATTCTTACCCTTCTTGTCTGATTTGTTCCTCCCTCATAAACTTACTGCCCTCTAAGTTTCCTATCTATCAAGTTGCTATTGTCAGTATCATTCCATATAGATACTTCTCAAAAGAGCACAGTGCTCAAGGCAGATCTTTTTCACTAGTTAAGTTAATCTAATGTTTGGTTTTAACATGACTTCAGGCATTATTTTTGGTTTAAATTTTAAAGACTATGTCAGCTCAGTAGTTTCAGTGGTTCATCCACCCTCCATGGCTCCAGAAAATCTATAGAGTCCATGAGAATTTAAAATTCTCTTCTGCATTTCCATCTCCTCTTTTTTTTTTTTTTTTTTTCCCCCTCAGATTCCTCTATAGAATCTTTGATCAAAATTTTAGTGGTAGCTGAGCACCATCCAGTTCTGGTCTCATGGCAAAGGAGGCAGTTGTTCATGGAGGCAATTAGCCTCACATTCCATATCATCCCACAATTCCCGACTCTCCTTCCTCTGTCGCTTCAGGTGAATAGAGACCAACTGTTGTGCTTTGGATGGCCACTTGCAAGCTTTTAAGATCCCAGGTACTATGCAATGAACTAGGAGGCAGAATAGAAGCACTAAACAAATTATTAGCCAATTAACTAGGATGCCCCATGAAATCAAAACCCAAAATCTTCAAACCAAGGAATCAAATCCCATGAGTTTGGTTGTACAAGCCTCAGAAGCTACTTTTTTTAAAAAATTGTGAATATATGTATGTATCAAACAACTTTTGCCAATTAACTTTTTACAGGTGTACAACTTATTTCCAGTAATTAGAACGATTGGCTGTGCAACCCTATCCTTAATCAATGCAATTTTCCCATCACTGTTAATTCCTTTCCCTCTCTTCCTACCCCTGATAACCACAAATAAACTTTGGTCTCCACACATTAGCTCTTTCTTTTTATATAAATGAGGTCATATAATATTTACTCTTTTGATTGGCTTATTTTGCTCAGCATGCTGTCACGCTCCATCCATACTGTAGCATGTATCAAGACTTCATTTCTCCTACTGGCTAAGTACTACTCCATTGCATGTTTGTGCCTGGTTATATTTATACATTCATCTGTTGATGGGCATTTAAGTTGTTTCCACCTTTTGGCTATTGTGAATAATGCTGCAATGAACATTGTGTACAAATCTCTTTTTGAGTGTGTTTTGAAATCTTGTGGGCATATACTGAGTGGAATTGCAGAATCCTATGAACAGTACAGATTTTTTGTGAAGTTTCTAGTTCTATTATTTGTTTTCTCTAACTGCATTAAGACGCATACTCACCACCCTCATGTAAGCAAACATATACTGAACTCAATTGTATGGAGAGCTCACTGTTGGAAAACTAGCCATGGTCATGGATTCAATTGTGTCCCCCCAAAATATGTGTCACTTTGGCTAGGCTGTGATTCTCAGTTACATAATGATTCCTCACATTATGCTCTGATGTGACCAGCCAATCAGTTGCAAGATTAGGGTGGGATGCAATGCTCCTATGCAAGTCACAGCCTTGATCTAAGGAGTTTCCCTGGGGTGTGGCCTGCATCACCTTTTATCTCACAACAGACAAAAACAGAACTGAGCAGAGAGAGAGGGACCTAACTACCACCAAGAAAGAAAAGTGAGAGCCCGGTGTGTCCTTTGGACCTAGGGTCCCTGTGCTGAGAACCTGCTAGGCTCAGGGCAAGATTGATGACAAATCACACGTAGATCTCCAGGGAAAATTGGGCCTACAGATGTTGAAGAGATACAGACCTTCCTCCAGAGCCAATGGAGAAAGCCACACCCTAAAACTGGCACCCTTAATTTGGAATTCTAGCCTTTTAAACTGTGAAAAGAATAAATTTGTTTGCTAAAGACATCCACTTCTGGTATTTCTGTTTTAGCAACACTAGATAACTAAGACAGCCATGATTATTTTGAAGTTTTCATAGCTTTGCAATATATTATGAAAATATACTGGCAATATATGAAAAGAGAGGAGCTCTGGTGGCACAGTGGTTAAAGTCATTAGCTGCTAACCAAAAGGTCAGCAGTTCAAACCCACCACCTGCTTCATGGAAGAAAGATGAGTCTGTCTGCTTCTGTAGCCTTGGAAACCTATGCTATGATTTGGAATCAACTTGATGGCAGTGTGTTTGGTTTGGTTTGGTTTGGACATAAAAAGGAGGAAAAGGTGGTAGTGTATTTAAGCATTCCTTGCCACTAGTAGTGAACAAGGGCTAAGGTGACACTGTGGACCACAGACCTTCTAATTCAATAACAAGAGACTGGGCAACTTTAACAATGAACTGATACAGACACACTATAGAACTCCTCTGCTATGACTCAGTTTTTATTTTTTCCTGTATATATGAAATGAAATTTCATCATAATTAACAGTGCCTTGGATCTTTTTTTTTTTTTTTTAAAAAGCAACAACAATGAAGTTCAGAATGCAAGACAGTGACTTTGTATGCAATATACACAATCCTGGTAGTATCCAACAGATAACCTATGCTCTACTAATAAATATCTTTTGATACTAAGGGTTTTTAACTTCTGTCAGTTCCTACCTAATCATTCTTTTAGAAGACTTAATTTATACATGTTCCTTAGATAACACATACTTCATATAAAACATAAGAATTAATGTACATTCCTAAGGTCAAATTCAGAGACAAAATGCTTTACCAACTTAGTAACACATTTACTCCTTTAGCTGCAGATTAGAAACCTAAGCTGCATTTTTGTGATCCATGCAGTAAATGTTCAGAAAAATCAAGCAAACAACTAGAAATACTTCAATTACTGAATTAACCTTCCCATCCACAATAGCTTTATCAATAAACATAAAAGCACTAAATAACTGCATCAATACCATGCTAGGCTGAGTTAATCCTGAAAGACTGATTGGGATAGCTATAAGGGAAGCACTGGTAACTGACTTTTCCTTGTTTATATACAAGATTGAGACTATTCCTCTTCACATGGCTTTTCCCTACAATATAAGCTTTTGCTAAAAAGTCATTCGGGCTTCAAATTAAAATCATTTAACTTTAGTGAAAATGCTGAGAAATGCCTCTCTCAAATCTCTGATCCTAGAAACAGCTTGCTATCGGTCCTTAAGGCAAATGCCAGGAGTCAGAGAAAATACAGAACAGTCTCAGAATGTAAACAATAAAATCGCTGACCAAAGAGTTACATCCTTGAATAAAAAAATCTCTTTCAGAAGACGTATCCAGATAACACCAGCTTCTTGGCTTTTGAAGTTAATATGAATTTTATATTCTAGAAGCATTGCACATTTTTTCCTTTGTAGAGACTTCTGGAGTGGATAAAAGTTCATAATGTTGCTTCAAAACAAAACAACTACGTAACAGAGAACTCGAATACCAGGCAGTTTTAAAGTCTGTTGTGTTTGTTTGACTTTTACATTTTACCGATGTGGTTGGCATATGGAAAACCAAACTGAGAAATCATAATGTTGGAGTATTTTAAGGGCATGCTATCATAGATCTTCACAAGCTTATTTATACAGTAAGACCTCTGCAGAAAGTGCTCAGCTCGATGCCACATTCCAGAATAACCACCGTTGGTTTCTTTTTCCAAATTGCCCATGTTCACAGGTTTCACAAATATCCCTGAAGTCTTTCCAGTGTGCTTGGCAATGATAAAATTCATGGCGATATCATCACAGTTTTGAGTTTCATCTATCAAAGCATGGACAGCTAAAGGTTGCTTCTGAAAGAGGTCAAGATATTTGCTATTAAAGAATGAAGCTCCAATCAGCACCATAGAGTACTGGTCACCATTTTGAAATCCTGGTGTTTGCAGTTCAAAACCTCCGTAACTGTAGATACCCGAAGAAGTAGAGACATGTTTTCTAGGAACAAATCCTACAATCTGATCAGGAAATTGCTGAAAAGAAGAAAAAAGAACAATTAAGCATGGCATTTCCTTCAGGAAGACATAGCAAAGAAGGCAATGACTTATCATAGAATTAAACTGGTTTGTCAATTTTATTATATTCCTGGCTCTACATCTCAGTGTTATCAACTCCAAGCAACTGCATAAATCTGAGACCTGACAAGTTTACAGGTCAAATTCCTTCACATCCCCAATTTTCTAACCTCACAAATGCTTTCCTAATCCAAATATTATCTGATATGAACAAACTCTAGCCATTAAAGAGTCCCATTGTTCAAAGTTTGCTTCAGAAATTGGCTGTATGATCACTCTTTATTGTAGAGGATAATAAGATCTAATGCATTGCTTTGAAAAATTCCTTTAATCCCTTATGGGTATAACATATTTTGATTTTATTGTGATTGTATATTGATTTCAATGTTCCTCAAAGTTCATTTTAAATAATAAATGTAAATTTATTGTTTAATATTTTAAACAGTAAATGTGAACCACATTTTAAACAATAAATGTAAACAACATTTTATCCCTTTCCAGTTTGGGTGTTTCCTTGTTAAAAATACAAAAGATCTGACAAAATATCTGAAAAACCGATGTGGTAGTTAAACATTTAATGTGAGACTGAAAATAAAACAAAAATCAGCAAACAAAAAATAATGAAGGATGGAAAAGAGGTAAGAACTTAAGGGGTTAAAAGATTTAGCTCAATCTCACCAATAATTTGAATTTCCTTCATTTGTTGAACAGACACTGAACAAGGGATAGAAAAAATTAGGCTGGATTAAATTCTATTTCAAAGAACTCTATAATCCAGAGGACACAGTTCTATCAATAAGGAATTATAATACTGTGATAAAGTTATAAAGATGGTTGAGTAAAATCTGATGGAACACTGATAGAATGAAAACTCTTGTTGCTGGGAGACAAAGGATGGGGAATAAAGGCTGGCGGCTTCAAAGAGGATGGACTAGAGAGTCAGTGACAAAGGGGAAGATCCTCAATGAGATGGATCAACATAGTGGCTGCAATGATAGGCTCAAGCACAGCAAGAACTGTGAGGATGGCACAGGATTGGGCAGCATTACATTGTTGTACACAGGGTCACTGTGATTTTGGAGCCAACTCGACAACACTTAACAACAACAACAATAACAGGAGGATGAAGGGAATATAGGTAGCTAGAGGAGGGAAGGCGAATAGGTGATGCAAAAGGTTAACTGAAAGGCTGGCAGTTCAAACACAACCAGAGGCGCCTAAGATCAAAGGCCTGGCGATCTGCTTCCCAAAGGTCACAGCCTTGAAATTCCTATGGAGCAGTTCTCTTCTACACACAAGGGGTCACCATGAGTCAGAAGTGAATCCATGGCAACTAATGAACCACAGTAACAGGAGGAAGGAAGGAAAAGGGAAAGAAAGCACTGAAAGTAGAGATTATGGGTTAAGTGTGACATCTGTGCAGTCTCCTTTAACTTGGCCTGCCTACATATACCAAACATTACAATATGGAGGGTCCTAGGGAGCACCCATTGGACTGAATTTCAGCAATCAGATAATACTTGGGGAATGGACTAAAATTGTTCTTGATACTTTTATGAATAAAACGTAAAATCGTATTTAGTCATCTTTAATTATGGCCTACTCAGATTGTTCTAATGAACCTAGTCTTTGCATTTTCCCCCCCTTTTACATTTTGGGCAAAGTGAATTTTTACCATAAATAAAAATCTTTCTGCTGGAGTAGTACTTTAGAACTTTTCGCCTAAGAGGCTTTTATTTACAGGGCCTGAAAAACTGCTGATATGGAAAAAAATCAATTTGTTGATCAGTACATCAGGCATGAAGTTAAGAACTAAAGTTTTAAAAATGCTGGCATGTGCAGAAATCTGCGACCACTTACTATTAATATCTCACGTTGTTTTCTCCCAAGTAGCTAATTAAGTGGACTTACTCTAGCATAAATTAGACCACTTATTTGAAGCACAGTGTGTAATTATGTGAGAAGGCTTCAGGGTATTTGTATGCAGTTCTGGTTTCAGGTAACCTTAGCACAGCTTGTAGATGCCAGCTCTTCTGAACCCATGTTCAATAGCACAGAGTTGTTTTTATACAAGAGCAGGCGATATATGCCTGCTTATCCCAGCTAGGATTTAGAAAATAAAAACCTGCCACGACAATGGTACAGGAAGAATTTTTACTACAGAATTTTTACAATTGCACAACCAAGATTAAATTTTGTGACTATGATAAATACTTTTTTAAAAAATTATATACAATATGAGTATAGAAATACATCTCTCTTTTAAGACCCAGGGCTGTGGCCTTGTGAAAAATATCTCTGCATTCTAGCCTTTGCTACACAGATCACTTCCTCACTATTCTCTGGAAGGTAGTTCTATCTCTTCTCCCTGATACACCAAAATATAAATCACATATACCTAAAAGATTTTGTCTTTTGGCACAAGAAATCTTAATTACCTTATAATAAATTCATCTTTTAGATAGATTATGTTCTATAATGCTTTAGTTAATCTCAACATTAAACGATGTTGTCCTGTTTAAGCACTGTATAAGATTTTATACAGATGACTTTATAAAGGATTCTATAAAGCATTAACCAACATTACCTGCCAAACAGAGAAAGCAAACATGAGGTCCTGGGCGCTAATTAGCATGTCATCATCTACCATTAACACCGCTGAAATGAAAGGAAAAAATAAACTTAAAATTGTTTGAAAACGAAAACAAAATTAGAAAGATACAATGTTATTACATAAATCATTCAAATGATGTATGTGCTGACCCAATTAGTAAATAAGAAATGCATTCTTAGAGAGTTTGTCTAGCAGAAAAGGTTTTTAATTAAATTGTAATTGCTTTTTAAAACTTCCTGAGGGGAAAATTATCATCTAATTATCATCCATCCATCATCCAAGAAACTAATGAAATTATAAATAAAACAGAGATTGTTTTAAGTAAATTATAGCCTTATGAAACTGCTGTGAATGGTGTGAAAAGGGTGGTGACAAATATGTTATGCACAAACTAAATAGTATTTTCCTACATTCTGTAAAGGAGCTCTGGTAGCATAGTGCCTAAGGCACTTGACTGCTCACCAGAAGGCTGGCAGTTCAAACCCACCAGCCACTCCTCAGAAGGAAGGTTGGGCAATTCTACTTCCGTAGTGATACTGCCTCGGAAACCCAAGGAAGGGTCGCTATGAGTCGGGGCCGACTTGACGGCAAACAACAACAACATTCTGTAATGTAGAAATATGTAATTATGGTGCATCTTTTTCTACAATATTAACCTTTGCCATTATTGCAAAATGTGTGATTTCTCCCCAGGAAACTGCTTCTTGCATCTCAGAAATTGTCCTTAAGTATTTCAAAGTGTTTTCTTATGATTAATTTCCCATATTTTCTCCAGAAAGGTCAGACACATAGAGGGCCAGAGGTAAGAGTTCTTACCCCCAGCTCTGATTATTTGTCACCCTTGTAGGCTGAGAACTCAGCGGCAACTCACCACTGGTTTCCAGTTCGGGGAAATTCTGGAGCCGATTTCTCATTCTGTTTGCTGTCTGTAGTTTGAAGATCACAGGGACAGGGTGAGGCCCTAGAGAATTCCATAACTCATCTGGCCCCTTCTCCCCAATGTTGTTCCACACAACAATCACTTTGTGTAGATGTGGAATTGCTTGATAGTGATTTAAAAGTCTCAACAAGAGATCTGTTCTGTTGTACGTTTGCATGATAAGGGTGAAGGAATCCATGGTGGACTTGCCCTGAGATTTTATCTCCCTCCTCAACGTGAGCATCTTGTCTTCTTTGATATTAGGAAGCAAAGTAGTCAAAGCACCAGCTACCAGTAGTAACACGAGGATAACCACCAAAGAGAAACGAAGCACTCGGATCCCCATCACTCTCCCAGGAAGTTTGCAGATGTGGCAAAACCTACAGCAGAAATAACAATAAAATACAGAAGAACATTATCATTTCTAGTATTCATCATGTTTGTGATTTTGCTTTTTCAGTGAGGAGAGAGGTCAAACTTATTTTAATTGATTCAAATTCAGCTCTCCCTTCCTTTTCAACAGGTGATTTAGCCTAAGAGATAGGAAGTACAGTCTAATATTCCCTCCTTTCTGGGTCTGCCTGTTATGCAACAGAAGATAAAAGATACTGCATGCAACAAACAGGAAGAAGTAAACAGTACATTTAAAAATACACCCTTCACTTTATTATTAAAAATTTGGAATTGAGATTATTTTTCCAAATGCGATTATATTTCTTAGTACACTAATTTAAAACTTTTTTCTAAAGCAAAAAATTGGTAAACCTTTGTTCCAAATAAAATCATATATACAAGCCTCATACATGAAACAGATAAGAACAGAAACAGCGGCTGCAAATAATGTTAAGAGTTTATTACTTATCAGGTGTTTTACAAGTTGGTGTTATATGTCTTTCAGTCAATTCCACCTCATAGTGACCCTGCATGACAGAGAACTGCCTCATAGTGTTCCTAGGCTCTTATCTTTATGGGAGCAGATAGCCAGGTCTTTTTTCCTGTGGATTGGCACTGCTAAACTCTTGGTTACCAGCCAAATGCTTAACACTATTTCCCCACTAAAGATCCTTTCATAAGCCACAAAAAACAAAAACAAAAACAGAAAAAACAAACTCACTGCCAAAAAGTCGATTCCAACTCATAGTCACCCCTGCTGGCTTCCCAAAGTGGTAAATCTTTACTGAAGTAGATTGCCCCATCTTCCTTCTGTGGAGCAGCTGGTGGGTTTGAATTGTTAGCCTTCTGGTTAGCCGTCAAATGCCCACAGTATGTACTTATTCATTCAACAAACTAGATAAAATAGTTTCTGAGCACTTATTTTGTGCCAGGCACTGTGGTAGGTTCTGTGACTACAGAAATGAATGAGATCGACAAGGTCTTTGCTGTATGCAGCAGAGGAGACAGTAGACACACATAATAAACAAATTCAAAAAGTAATTTGGAATACTCCTAAGTGCTTCTGAAGAGAATCAATCAGACTGACAGGATAAGCAAAAGCCAGCTTATTTGAGGCCTTATTAGGAGTATGGATTTTATTGTTAGATGGAGTAAAGCCATTGGAGATTTTGCTTAGGAGAGTAACATGATCTAATTTATCTTTCACTATTATCATTCCCTTTTAATAATTCAGATGCTTACAGAATTTAAATAACTTTTCCAAGATTACTATACAACTTAAGTAATGGAGCTAGGATTTATATTCAGGAAAATCGCTCCTAGATGCTAAGTTGTTCATCATTATGGGCTCTGGGTATGCACTGCCTGTATAGAAATCCAGGTTGAACTATACAGATTACAAGGGACTGTGATCAGCTATTTACTGTCCTCTCTTCCTCACTATACCTAAAACATCTTCTTTATTGGCCACAGAATATGGATGAACAAATAACTGATGGGTATGGCCTGAATATTCACTGGTCAAAACATTTTATCATTGAAACTCTTAATTATGTATGTGAGGAAAGATTAAATCTCAGACAGTTTTAGAGAGACCTAGGTTCATCTTCACTTTTGCTGCCTCTTCCTGTAGTTCTGCTAGCTTGCAATTGTGTCTATTTTTTATTCTTCTGCTATTTCTGCTTCTAACTCCAGATTTTACTTACCCCTCCACAAATCTTTGTTAAGTCTTTTAGGCATGCCTCTATTTTGTGTTTTTAGCAATTGAGTCTTCATGTCAATTTTTGCATATCCTAGATCTATTCCACTACTCTATTTAAGTACAAAAGCTAGAAATGAGGAAAAAGAATTATTCAAAGAATATGAATACGAAAAGATCCAAAATAAAAAAATCAACTAAAAAATGTAAATAGTTTAAAAATACCCGTAAGAAAAAAAGATCTCTTAAAGAATCAGAAACAATATTATTCATGATGGCTTGATCTTTTTCTGTCCTCTCACTAGTTTTGAAGAAATTTCCTTCTTAGGTTATATGATCAGCAGATACTCTCATCTATTGTTTAATAAAGACAAATGTGATAAAGCTGGAAAAGACTTCCCCTCTCTCTACAAACCCACCCTGGGTAGGCTGCACACGTAAGGTGTTTTTCCAGCAAAGGGCCTGCAGATTGTTCACCATCCACACTCTCTCACTTGGGTTTCCTTGTGCACAAGCAGGCATTTGCAAGGAAGCCAGAGGAGGGACATGCAGCACCAAGAGGAAATGATTAGCTGATACCTAAAGCCTGTGCCTTTTAATCTCAGGTTTACAACGGACTGACCCAACCAGTAATACTTGCAGAGTTCTCCAACACAGACATGCACATTTCCCTCTTTATCTGACATCATTTCTCTGTGTCCAGCCTGCAGGACTCTTGCTTGTTTTCCAAAGGCTGTCATTATTATTGCTGTCCTTTAAACAGAATATGCAAAATTTTTTGAATATAGTGAAAAACATATAGATATATGTGTGTATGAATATAATTTATTCAGTATATAACCTGTGCCTGAATTGTGTTACATCCCATATCACAGCAGCAATGAAGATGTTAATCTTCAATTGTTTTGAAGGTAAGAGTGACACTCAGAGGTTAGTACCTTGTCTTAAGAGATCATGATTAGCTATTGGTTGAATTAGAATTCAAACATGGATGGTTTTTTCCCCTATCTACTGGGTTGTCTCTAGCAGACTGAAGGATTATTTAATAGATATAACGTATTAAGTACATTATTTACCAAACTACATAATAGAAAATAGAAGAATTTGAGTCCCTTGACGATAGGAACAATATTTTAATTATCTGAATATTCCTCATAGCCAAGGGCTCAAGAATACACGTAGAGTTCACCTAAAAATATTCAAGAAATGCTTAAAATCTCTTCTCTACCATTATTGTTTTAGGTTGCCATTTAGCATAGTTGCCCAGTTAAATGTTTTTCTATTTTGCTTTTCTACTCCCATGTCAGACCACTGTAAAAGTTGCATTAATGTTATTATTCAGTTCATTTAGACAAGTACAGTATGCTAACTGTACCGACCCACTGTCACTGTTCTTCATACAATAATGCTTCTCTACATTTTATTTTTGGTTTTTTCCATCTTCTGGGTAAAGTACACCTTATGTAGCCATACACAGAAATATATAATCTCTTGATTCATATCTTATGGTTGAAGTTCAGTATTTGCACCTGAGATTTCACAGGCAATCCGAATACTGTAGTCTAAATCTTCCTGCCTAATAGAATCATTAGAATATTTGGTTCCAAACTAAATCTCCTTTAGTTTCAAAATGATGTCTGTGGTCAGTCTGATGACACGTCAACTTGGCTGGGTTGCGCTTTTGAGTGCTTGGCAATTGGATGCAGTTATCACCCACAGAGAGATTGTAATTAACTCCATGGTGGTATCTGCTGTGAGCGGCTAATTAGTTGTCTTCAGGGTGTGGCCTGCTTTCAGTGTATTTGGGGAAGCTTTGAAGACAATTTCTAGCTTTTTGGCACAAGTTGTCTTCTCAGTGGTCTGCCATGTTGCCAGCTGATCTAGGGATTGTGCCATTTTAGCTGTCGACCTGTGCCAGTTTTAGCTGCCCGAGTTAGCAGATGCCTCTTGCTTCAGTGGGCCTGGAATAAGAGGCAGAGCTGAAGCCCAAGGTCAAGAGGCCTATACCCAGCCCCTAGAGCCAGCACTCTGAATTTGGACTTCTAGTCTCCTAAACTGTAAGAGAGTAAATTCCTGTTTGTTAAAGCCATTCATTCCACTTGTGGTAATTTTGTTATAGTAGTGCTAGGGAACCAAGATAATGTCCAATCAACCTTTCTTCTTTGAGAAGACTTGGAAGTGATTGGGTTAAAGTTACAGTCATGTTTCTGTGACCTTATTTCATGTTTTGAGATGTGTTTTGTCATTGCCTGAACAGTTTTCTCTCTGTACAGTTCAGCAAAGATGCAGACCACACAGGCTATGTCTTCAACAGTATCCTTTAACATTTACAAGAATGGAGAATGAAGATTGTGAGGGAGGCAGAAGCATATAAAACTCACTCCATAATGAAGCAGCTGAGCTGAGGCATGTGCAGTCAAAGAGCTTACTCAACAAGGACATGGATGTGGTCATTGTCATTCAGCTCTCACCTTTCCACAGCCCCGATTTGAAAATAATGCTACCTTTGCAGTAACCTTTTCAGAGAGCTTTCACTGAAAGGATATTCTCTCCTGGATTTTCTCTGCAGCCTATTTTGTTAAGAAAAGCAAATTTTGTGTTTCCCCTTCCATCATGGTCTTATTCTCCAATAGGAATAAAATGAATTACTTTTGAAGTAATCTCAGCTTTACCATAATTATTTTTCAAGGGCAATAATTCAAGGCTGTAGAGTACAGTGTTTTCATTTTATGTATCCTCTTACTAAAACTACACATACTGCTAATGTAGTCAACCCAAGACAAACCATTCTGAATTAATAACTTTGGTTCAAAGGCACTGAATATCCTTTTAAAACTGAATTAAAAGCAGGTCCTACAAAACACGTTTTCAATTCTACATGAAAATGACCAGTTATAAGCTCTCAGAGCAAAGAATCACCTTGACAATTGCATTAAAATATACCCTGATTAAGATCTTTATGTTCATTTTCAGCAGCTGAGTAGGAATAACATACTGAAAAACTTATATAAAAGTGTTTCTCATTTCTAGAGTAGACAGATAACTTGCTACCTGGCAGCTTCAGTCTAGAAAAATAATGAGGATTAATTATTATAGCCTACTATAAATATATACTATCTTAGGCACTCATGAATGATTGTATATGTATTTATCTATACTTTCAAGTAGGAGTTTATCCCCTGTACCCATCACAGAATTTCCTCTTTTGGTTAGCTTCTAATCTCCTATTATACCTGTATCAAAAAGGTTTCAGGAAATAATTTGAATAATTTATATCTTTAGAAACAC